ATTTATTGATTATTGACATGTATTATTTTAGATAGATGAGATGATGATGAAACAATGTGTAGCATTTCAACATTTCATCAAATATATCGAATCGAACTTGACAATTATTTCGAATCAATGATGGCGCCATCTAAAAACGATTGTATGCCATTATATTTCATATGTGTTTATTGTGTGAATCATATGAGAATCAAATTCGAGTTTTCAAAAAATTTATTTAATTAATCCATAATAATCAATCAATTATTATAAATTAAATTTGAAAAAATCAATTATCTACATTGTTGGTGTATTGACAGAAATATCTTCATTAATCGCTTCAACAAATTCATTTGGATTGGGAAATGAATCCATCGAAATATTCAATTCCAATTGACGTTTTTTCGTATGTGGTAGCTTAAAATGTCGAATACGTATGTGTGTGATCAGATTGGATTTCTGTTCGCAAGCATAACTACAATCGGGCCATTTACAACGGAAACGTTTAAAATTTAAATGTACACGAACATGATTCTTCAAGGAACTATTATCGACAAATGTTTTTCCGCAATCTGGCCACGAACATTGATAGGAACGAATGTTTTGATGTAAACGCAAATGTATTGGGTAATAAGTGAACGATACATAACGATCACAGCCAGTGAATTGACATTTTTTACGCTTATGTTTCGATTGTCTATGTGTGAATAATTCATGGCGATATGTAGTGGAAAAATCACATCCCTCATGATCGCAACGATAATCACCAGTATCATGTAATAGATAGTTGTGTTTCCTTATGGCTTCAGCGTTTCGAAATTTTTTATTGCATGATTTGCATGTCAGATATTCATCTACATGTTCCATCCTCATATGTCGATTCAGTTTATTCCTGTGTGTGAATGAATGGATGAATAAAAATGAAAAAAAATGAAAAAAATGTAAAAACAGTCATAATACACATACTCGTCTTGGAATAATAATGCACATTTTTCATTTGAACATTGGAAAATTTTATGAAATTGTTTCAAATGTTTTTGCAAATCAAAGATGAATTGAAATTGTTCAGTACAATTTTTCTGCAAACATTTATGTTGTTTACCATTATGTACAATTTGTTCATGTTTGTTAACTTTATCCTTTGATGTACTACGATATCGACATCCATACGAACAGATGTATTTCAATGATAAACCGAAATCCACTTCTGAATCATCGGATGCGATCGTTTCTAGATCGTTTTCCGCTTGCTTTGACGATTTAGCTTTTCTTTTTTTAACGGTTTTCTTTTTCTCTGAATCTCGGCGACATTGTTTTTTGCTTGCCAAAGTGGCAGAAGAATCTGTCGTTTGTTTACGTTTTTCATTGTT